GCGTAAAGGAAAAGTTTTCCACCGTACAATAAGACCCTACCTAGATTATTGATATAAATGAGGAACAACAGAGGTCCAAGCGAACTTCCTTGGAAAACCCCAAATTCAATTGATTGAGGTACACTGGAGTGGCCCAAAATTGACACAACTTGAAAACGATTACTAAAATAACTTCTAAACCACTCCAGTGCAGCCCCACGGACGCCTATTAAGCTTAATTTGTTCAATAAAATTTCCCTGTCAACTGTATCAAAAGCTTTGGCCAAATCTATAAAGACTAAAAGAGGTTTCTTATTTCTCCCAACTGCGTCATGAATATTTTTAGTGAGTAGAAAAAGGTCATCATTTAAATTTTTATCCCTCCTAAAGCCAAATTGGTTTTCAAATAAAATGTCGTTAACGATCAAATAATTTTCTAGCTGCTCCCTAACGCACTTTTCTAATAATTTATACAACACACTCGTTAATGTAATTGGTCTGAAACTCACACATTGGTTTTTCTGTCCACTCTTGTAGATTGGAATTACTTTCCCTAATTTGGAAAAATCTGGGAACACCCCAGATGTCAAACTCATATTTATAATATGAAGAAGTGGCGATTTAAGTATATTTATGTTTTGCTTGATTAATTTAGTTGGAATTCCATCTACACCTGGGGCAGAGCCACCTTTCATATTATTGACCAATTTTACTAAATCTACCTCTAAAATAGGCGTCAGCTGGAAGGTAGAGTCCGTCCGGTAATCCTCATCTCTCACGATAGGTTCTGACACAGGGGGGACAGAACTGGCCAAGTCGGCTCCTACATTGACGTAATATTCGTTAAGAGTATTCGCAACTTCAATGATATCATCTGTGCCTGTACACTTCCTTTTACCTAGAAACTGGTTGATAGGGAAATCCTCCTTAATCTTTTTTGTACCCATGATTTCAGTAATATTGTTCCATAATTTTCTGTTGTCGTTCCTAGATTCACTTAATTTCCTGCGATAATAAAGAAGTTTAGCAGAAGCAATTATCTTACTAAGAGCGTTTCTGTATTTTTTTAAACGTAGTTTTAAAACTGCATTCAAGGGTTGATTTTTTAAACGTCTACTCATCCCATCTCTGACACGGATCGATCTGACAATACCAGACGTAATCCAAGGTTTTATTTTAAACTCCTTAGATGAAATTGTTTTCTTTGTAGTAGATATTGAAATAATTTCTTGTAACTTATGAGCAAAAAGATTACAACTATCATTGACGTCGTTTACATCCGTGATAACAGACTAATCCGTATCAGAGATAAGGCGGTTTGCAATAGAAAAATCTAAACAGGTTTTCTCTGTTTTGGCTTGTAAATTTGGAGTGGCATCTGAGATATCTTTCGGACCTTGTATTTGAACAACCGTGAAAAAATGGTCCGTTAGAGCACATTGAATAATTGCGGATTTAATGGAGTTAGTGTTTTTACAGTCGGTGAAAAAATTATCCAGACAGCTTTCTGTATCTTCTGTAACTCTGGTTGGCAAATTGATACAACTAATAAAACCCGAACCATATAAAACATCTAAGTAGCGTTGTGAGAGATTGTCTACTTTATTTGGCAAAATGCAGCAGTTAATGTCGCCGACCAGCCAGTGTGTCCTATCCCTGGGTCTATTATCTAAGTAGGCTTCAAGGTCGTCGATAAAGAGAGATAGATCACTAGACGGACTCCTGTACACCGATAACAGGGAAAGCCGCGCATCGCCAAACAATACATCTACTTTAACACACGTTGCTCCAAACATACCAACCTCCTCCATGCACGCAGAAAAACACTTTTTCACGAATACAATCACACCATCATTACATTTCTACTCTCTTTGTTCATAAACACGTTATAACCATCCATACTCACATTCGCACTGGATTCATCCACCCAAGTCTCAGTTAAAACAATTATATCAAAATGATATACATAACTATCTAAAATAATAATCAGCTTGTCTATATTTTTACTCAGTTAAAACAATTATATCAAAATGATATACATAACTATCTAAAATAATAATCAGCTCGTCTATATTTTTACTATAACTTCTAATATTTAGACTAAGAATCGTTAAACTATTTTTAATATCTATATTAAACTCACTGAAAAAACTAAATGTTGATATGTCTTCATATATGCGTGCATTAACATTTTGGTAAGAGATAATGTCGTCAAAAATTTCCTCCATGAAAAGAGACAGACCCACCTTCAGCCCATAGAAACTTCAGATAAAAAAAAAGATTACTTAGAATCCTACTCTTATTTCAAATGATTAGTATTTACAGAATAAGAATACAGAGAAACACGTTTTTAATTATTTAAAACATATATATTCCTGAAAATACACCATGGTGCATTCTGTATGGCAAATAAAGAGTGAAAATAAAAATTACATACTTGTGAAAACAACTAAAAACAATTTACTCACAATAAGTGCCCAATACTTATTCTCTTTATTTGTGTTTTGTTTCAAAGATTGTAACCCCTAAACTAAAAATATTTACTTCGTGAATTTGAAACTGTGCTTTACATAAGCCCACTACTCACTCGCATGGTATACTTTATTTATAGGTAAATACAAATGTAAACAAAAGACCCCTAGTATTAAGTATAGTATTCCTGGTTCTACAGAAATTAGTAGATTCATTCCCTCCAAAATAAAAATAAATCGTTTTATTATTAGAATATGAATTGAGTTAAAATACATTTACTTAAGTTGGTGAGCTTAGACGAATAGATAAATTTTACACTAATTCAGATTTAAAAGAAATGGCTACAGGGAAAAATGAAAAAAAATTGATCATGATGATAAGATTACAGTAGTACAGTACTTGGATTGAACATATTAACACAGTATTGTTGTGAAATGAAATAAGAAAAAATGTGTATTTAGTTGCCTAACATACTAGTAACTACTACTGGTAGTTTATATAAACTAGTAAAATCGAAAAGTAACATTATAAAAAACATTAAAAATAATACCTAGGAGGCTTAATCCATACTGTGTTGAAATTTACTGCTCCGGGTTCCTAGCTGCTGTTGGTTACTCCGTTGCCGCTGCTGGTTTCTCCGTTGCCGCTGTGGGTTCTCCGTTGCCGCTGACCACGGACTCGTCGCCCTCGCCAAGAGCTGGACCTGCGAACTCATCCACTTCACTGTTGTCCCTGATTGTCTTGACAGGTCCATCTGGTGTCTTCCTAATCTTGATCCTCCCCTCCTTTGACCAAGCGTAGGCGAGACGACCTTCTTTGACAAAAGTTTTAGCATATCCCAGGAGTCGACGATTCCGAGGTGTAAGATGGTCGATGAGCAGGACTGGAGATGGTCTAAGAGATGCTGCAACATCTGTCGTTTGGATCGGGTTATCTCTGGCGGCCTCCATCCACTCAGCTCTAGTCGATCTGGACACGAATTGGGTGACGATTGAGGGGGGAAATGATTTCTTCCTAGGTGCGGGCAGACGATGGGCGATTGAGATGTCACCTCTATTGAAAGTTATTCCTAAGGCTCTTGCTATGCTTTCCATGATCAAATAAACGTTTTCTTTCATAGTAAGAGGGATGCCCCTTATTTCAATGTTTCGGTTTCTAGAGTACTGCTTGAGGTCCTCGATCTCCATTTCAAGGCTGTTAGCTTTATCCCGAAGGATAACATTTTCTTCCTTTAAATGTCCTTAGTCCTGTTTTAGAGACGCGTTCTCCCTCTCTACTACTAAAATTTTATCCTTGAGCTCATTCAGGGTTTGGTTCATATTGATCAACTGCTGATTAACGGTATTAAAATTCTGGTTACTTGAATCCTGATTCGCAGCCATATCCCGTTGTATAGCACGGAGAATATCACATATCTAATTGTCCTCAGAGTCTGACTTACCACTCGCAGCAGACGCAGTCTCCTGGCCGCAGCCGTCGCACTTCCACGTGGCCAGAGCCTGCGGCGACATGGCCGATAACTTTGCCACAGTTCGTCTACGACTACACGTAACATGGAAGGTCGAACCGCACTCCACGCACTTCACAGTGTTTTTTGAATTTGCAACATCACGTCCACACTTAGAACAGTCCATTTTGGATTAGGTGAAACAGTAAGGTCCTAATAAAAAATAAGAACTAATAGCAAGAAAAGATTTCCCGCACAAAATGGATAACGAAAAAGTTCAATATAGGTTTTGACACAAATAAAGCTTATAGAGGGTAATTATTTAACACCAACTGTATGTAAAAGGTCCTTTAGCGTGATAGGAGGCAGGATTACACGGGCAGACCGGTGGGCTTGCACAAACACGGGCGTTCACCGCATCGACCTTTCCTCCTCGGCGGACTAATGAAGCTAACGTATATCTTGGGTTCAATTTGATAGTTCTTATTTTATTGATTTATACTAAACTATTATTCAGGCTGTGGCTTTTTTTCTAAAATTACATGTGTTTTGACGATGCATTCTAGTTTTTTGGCTAATTTGTAAGCTGGAGCGGGCATGTAATTAACCAGGGGTCTAATTGGGTTGCCTTCTTTGTGTACCTTTGGTAGGCCTTTTAGGCGGGGAGCTTGGGGATTTATTGGTTTAAACTCTCTGATCTCCCTGTCAGTTAACAAAAGCTTACTGTTGGATAAAGCCTTATTTAACTCTTTACAGTGCTCTCCTAAATTTAAGTCAAATACTGTATTGCATTTAAACAGCCCATTTTAACAAGTTTTTGGGGACGTCGGTTTAACCGGAAAACCCGTTATCTGGACTGGCCTCGGTCCCGAGGAGTTCGGATAAGTGGGAGTCTACCGTAGTACGTTTCATAAAACACTAAGTGACAATTTGACACATTTTTTAATAGGCATATTCTCTTGCGACATTTGCACCGGTACTCTGTTGGTAGGTCAATTCGACTATGTTTATTTATTTTTATTATAAAACTGACTATAACTTTAACATGATAATGGAATGTCTAAAGCTTGTTCTCCTCACATGTTTACCTTGTGTTGTTTAGAGCGTCTACTGCAGGCATTGGGGGAGGTTCTGCTGAGTGGAGAGGAGAGAGAACAACAAGATGTGGCACTGATCGTGTGGTCCCTAGCTGCCAACAGTCAGAAGGCCAAGGTAGCACTGCGCAGTGTGGGTCTAGTCCAACGACTTACTCTGGCCTCGGCTACAGCGAATGACAAACATGTCTTCTCTCTGGTGATAGACCTACTCCAGCAGGGATGACATCAGTTTTACTCTAAATGCACACTGTGATTTTTTTGTATGGTAGTTTTTATTTTTGTATTTATTTAAAAGATATATAATTAATTATATTTTTACCAACAATCTGATTTGTTTTATTATGACTCATGAGTGAACTTTTATCTTTATGTTTTTCGTTAAAATAATCTTAAATGATGAAGTTTAACTCTCCTTCATTGACATGTCCCTATAAGTGTAATGTTACAGACACAGATCCAGATATGTGAATAGAAATCAGACTAATAAAGAACTCCACTGGTTAAAAATGGCAACTAAGTTACAATGGCTGGTATTTTTTCAATAATTTCATTGCTTGATTACTATACTTTTGAACTTTTGACCAACCCTTTATACAGGGCTGTTTTTTTTTTTTAACTACTGAAAGAAAAGTACAATGCAGATGGTTCTTCAGAAAGAAAAAAGGCTCGTCTTGTAGCAGGAGGATTTTCTCAACAACCTCATATTGATTATATTATGAAGAAACCTTTGCTCCAGAAGTAAAGTAATTGAGTCTTTATTCATCAAAATCAACGATTTTAATTTTTATTATTGCACACAACAATAACAAGAAAACTCAATTTAAATATAAGAATAATTTAACAGCAAAGCCTTTTGTCAAGGATGGAGTGAAAATAATGTGTTATGTTTGAATCAAGGCATTGGTTTGTGGCTCCAAACTTGAAACAGACACTCTTGACACATCTGCTTGCGATCGGTTGGTAAACATCATTTCTGCAACAGTGGTTGGCCCAAGGATGATTGCCCGCTGTAGTTACATGCAATCAAAAAATGGTCCATCATTAATTCAATACCAAAATATTAAATTTCGGTTTTCCTGTAAAATAAAAAAAAATTTAAATTAGCTGTTATAGTCTGACACTTGACATTTTTGTCACTATTCTTGTATGTGTATACAATATGAATAAAGGGGTTTGATTCGGATTCTGATTTAAGAAACTATTAATGTTGAAGCGTTCAGAGGATGAGTGTAGAAAGGTGTTAGATGATCTGTGTAGCTTTGTAAAGCTGCTGGGTTATCCTAGGTGCGGAGAGCGAAATCCAGTCTCCACTAATGAATCATCAGCCTATGAAATTTTCCAAATTTGATGAAAATATATATCCATAGGCTAATTACAAACTAAAACTGTCTACTTCTTCTCCATAAAAAATAGGTTACATGGCTAATTTAAAATTACAGTTTTTTAAACTTTAATCTGTAAAGATTTAGCCTATTAATGTATACTAAATTATTGTTTTTTCAAGCGCAACAGAATAGTTCTGGAAAACTATGTTTGTAAAGGCCAAAAATTATAAAACCCATTTTTAGGCTATAAAACCCCGTTCGCATACACATAAAATCATGCTCGTTTGCGAAATAGTTCGAATAAACATAGGTGTCTTGTAAGTAAACAGTCAAACTCTGAGAAATGGTTCTATGGGTCAAAATAAAGAGCACATAATGTTTAAAATTTTTCCAAAAGCATTTATTTTCCCCACAAACATCTTTGGATTGTCCCAACCAATCTTTATGAAACTTGGTGTGTATGTTAATGGAAAAAAGACCCATGTTATTTTGAGTTTATTAAAAAAGTTGTTATGAACAAACTCAAAACTTCATAATAGCAGCCATTTTAACATTTTAAATTTCAATTACATAAAATGGCTGATTTCATGAAAAAAGTTCAAGAACACGTAAATTTTGCATTTAAAATTGTCTACTAAATGACATCAAGTTCAAAAAGGTCGAATAGAAAATAGCCCGAATATCAAAATTTGTAGTTATTTGTTATTTGATATTTTGGATATGGTGTCGTTTGATAGGAAATTTAAAGTTCCAAAAAAAGTGTTCCTGACATCCTTTTAAAAAAATCAGCCAAATGTTCTTAAATGTTGTGTTCTTTAAATGTTTAGTGAGATCAAAATAACAGAGGCAGCGATAAGAACATAAGGGCCCCCCTGCAAGTTTGTTCACCGCCTGCCCCTCCAATAATCTTTAAAACATCATTACAGGTATATTTCTACCTAAACTTAGGCATCTCCCGAGGCATCGAGGCGTCATAGAAACATTTAGATAATAATCGTCCGTGATCGTGGCCCAATCCCTAATGTCTCCCACAGTGACGGAAATATCATAGCCTATTTTCTGCGGCAAAATCCTAAATATATCTCCCACGGGAAAAAACACTTTCAGTGTCTTCTGCGATAGCGTCAAAATCTTGTATAGATTTAATTGAAAATCTAATCAGGTAAATGGAAATTCGCTTAGTCTGCAGGTTTGCTAAGGCGGGGGTAATTTTGTTTTGTAGTTACCTTGAGTTGTTGAAGTGTTACAGTATTTTCCTTATGAGCATTTCGCCACAAGGTATGGCATCTTCAGAGGTCACTATGTTGTAATTTACATCCTAATATATACAAAAGTTCACTTTTAGGATATTATGATATCCTAACGATTGACTCAATTTGTCAACTCGCAAAACTTAAACACTATTGGCTTAAAGTGAGTCAAAACCAGACTCATGCAAAAAAGGTCAAACTTACACTAACTCGGAACATAAAGAGTCGACTTGTAAAACTTAACGCCAAACTTTAACTCTATTGGCAGCGCTGAGAGTTGACCTGAACTTGTCCGATGAAGGCAGAAGTTTCACGATGGCACCGAGTTGAGTCTGACTCTGAATACTCAACTCGTAACATCACTAGGCCTATTTGGAGGTATGTTTGGTTGGTCAGGGGATAGGGGTGAGATTATGATGCTAGAGCTTTCCCTTCTATAACGGTACGTCCAGAGTGCACACCAATTCAGATTCAGATTCCGATTCAGATTTTCGGCGGCAGGAATGGCACATGCATTCAAATGGAAGTGGCCGTAGTGGCTGCTGGTTTCGGAACCCGCGTGCAGGCACCTGCTTACCGGAATGAAGTCTTCATTCCGGTTTCAGATTCCGATTCAGATTTTGCTCGTACGCATACTATTTAGTTAAATAAATTTTGTTATATTTAATTTTTTCCATCCATAAAGGGTTACCACTAAACACTCTTCAGGAAAATTGTTTTGTTTATGTAGGTTACACCAGTTTCTTACAATACAACGACCAATTTTAATAATAAGTTTTGGTGGTTTCGGGCTCCATTCAATGCAATATAGAAAGAAGCTCTATCATTTCTAGCTATGGGAAAAGAGGTATACTATATTATGAACACAATTTTTCATTGGCTGTAACTTCACTCAGACTATAATTGTACATATTAATTCCTCATCCGACAATTCCATAATAACTGACTTGCTTCTTTGCTAACCGAGTCAGTACCGGCGGCAAGTTTCCTGCTTCCACCGTGGCCACCAAAAAATAACTGACTCAGATTAACCACGCGTTGAAAATCTGAATCGGCATGCACTCTAGACGTACCAACAAGAGACTGTGACGTTGCCAAGTCTCTGCTCCATTGCCACATTGTTCTTCTAGTTGGTTTTGAGTTTAAAAATTATTGAATTCCAATTGTTGTAACCTTATTTTTTTTTTAGCAGGGTGTCTGGGTTGTAACTATGGATATGTTTATAGATATTTCTGGGTGGACCTGACTGATTTAGTACGTGGAGGGGGGAGGCGGAACACGGACACGGGCGATTTTTATTGCCAGTGTGTCATGCTCTATCAGTCTCACTGGTTTGGCCGAAAAACCTATCTAGTAAGACGAGTGAGGCCACGGTCAAACTATTTCACGTGCGTCGCACGTGAAAACGGAAAAAACAGTCTCGCTGGTTAAAAGTTACAAGTGTGGCCCCGGCCTTAGAAGTTGCGTCGTTGTATCGGCGTTGGTCTTGAGCTCGATCGTTGGCTATATGGATTCTAAATTCTTTTTGCTGTTCAGTAGGGGAATTTTGCAGGATAGAGCTCATCATGCTGAAAACTTTTGTGTATGGATTAATATCAACCAAATGTTAAATCAAAATGTGCATGAGTTCAGTGCTGTTAGAGCCATTAGCTTTGTTTAACATTCTTTCTTCAACAGCGGTTTCGACGTCGTAGATATAAATTTGGGCATATGTGGAATGCTCCCCTTCTGACGATTGAAAGGTGCCAATTGAGTGATAAATTGTGTCGTGCACCTTATACAGAAAGTCCCACCACCGTTATATTCTTCAATTTTAGCTCGAGTGCTGACCATTGCGAGCGCAGAGTTGTACGATCTAATGTTCTCTTTGTAGTTTCTGCTCAAATGATTTGCTCCATTAAGAAGCTCTAGATATAATAGCTTTCTCAGTATGGTGGTAAATTCACTTTTCCTTTATGGCAGCAGGATGAAAATCCTTCGCCTCGTCCTCTTTGTTCTTCTTTAAAATGTAGCGCACCACATTTCTGACATTTTAATGCCATCTCGCCAAGTGAATGCTGCTGAATTCTTGTATTTTCTCAGTGTAATTTTGTAAGCACACGTTGCCACTAACTGTTCCAGCTCCTCATCTGGGCTCCTTACGTTTTGCATTGCTTGCCGTATGTTGACTCACCATGTCCGACCGGCAATATTTCTTTGTCGTCGGGTCCTTGGCATGTTTAAACGAAAATAAAATGTTAAACTTTTCTCCCATCGTGTCCTATAGGTAACATTTTTTTCCCGGTTTTCTAATTATTTTCAAAAACATGCAAACTGTTTACATTTCAAAACCAAACAATACAGCTGGGATTTATTTTTTTTAAACTTAGGGCCTATGTACTGACATATGTTTCAGAATATAATAACATTCAAATCAATCACAATGTTATCCTTATTGAAGGAACTTTGAGGACAGCCCACACCCTTAAAAAGATATATTTAAAAAGTCTAAAGCCAGTTTGCACATCTACACACCTAGACGAACATTTTTGTATATAATATGTGGGGTTAAAGCTTATAACAAAAAAGCCTTATTGTTCACAAAGTTTCATGTCACGTATTAAATATATAGATAGATGGTAGCTTAAACATCTACAATCTTCAAGCACCTGGCAATCAACTAGTTGCAGATGGTTTTGATTGTAAACCATCATGATTTACTATCAATATCTTTTTCCTACAGTCACCCGACAAAGTTGGCTTCCTTGTACTGTTTATGGTACAGATAGCTGCTAATTGCTGCATATTTATACTTTGTCATACAGTTTATACTTTGTCGTACGGTTTATACTTTAGAGCACATCAGGATTCCAACGAAACAACACAAAACAGCGTGGTTCTATTATGCACGTAATCCGTGTACGCTTGGAAATAGGTAGGCAACACTTAAAGATTAAAATACTATGAGCAGCTGATTGACTATTATAACTACGATTTAACCTGTCATTTTGTGTTTATAGTTTCGGTATTTCTGATCTTTCTGGACTTTTCTTTTAAACGTTTTAAAAACATTCCTACGATCTTAATAAACAAGAAAATACCTTTAAAGCAATTTTTTAGGCGCGGAAACCACTTCAAATTACAAAAACATACGGAACTATTTTCTCAAGTCGCGGAGCACATTGCTTGCCGAGGAAAAAATAGCGGAGTGATACGGACCGGTGACTACTTTCTCTAGGGCACCTATTTGTGTTGCCAGCTGAACCTAAAAACGTGTTGTATAGTGTTTGAAAGACTAATTATTTATATGCTTTATAGTGACTGTAGGAAAAATATAATGTGTAACACGAGTGCCACTTGAGTGGCCTTTGCTGCACTCGAGATCATTCCGTAAACATTGCTCTTGTGTGCAGCAAAGTGCTACTTTGCTCACTAGTTACACAAATAACTATTTAAATTCCGTCAACACTAAATATTTTTGAGATATGTACCTACTACCTATATTTATAGCGTAGGTAGGATACATTTTTAAGATTGATTTGCATTTTGTTTTGTCTTACTTGCCAAACATATACTGGTTTAGATTTTATATTAAATGTGAATTGGCAATATAATTTATTCTCTTTATACTTTTTAAATACTTTACTTACTTTTAAATCAAGTGACACCTCATTTTGAATTGTTTACAAAAACTTAAAGATTGGTGGAAACTAGAGGTCGCTATCTCTTCTCTATCCAAAATGGTAGCCCGTCAAGTGTTGTGGAAAATCAATGGTAAAATTGGTTCATAATGGTAATATTGGCTACCATTTTGGATAGAGAAGAGAAAGCGAACTCTGGTTTTCACCATTCTTTAAGTTTCTGTAAACACTTCAAAATGAGGTGTCACTTGATGGGGTTTTACAATGACAAATTTTTAGTTGTCCCCCAAATCCTCCCTTTTGGGGGGACACTAAAAAATTTCAAAATCATAAAATGGAACTTCCTGCTAAGATTGCACGACCACCAAAAGGATATCTCTGTATATTTACTTGTAAAACTATTAGAGGGGGGGGGGGTCTTGACTTTTATTCACCCTGTATAATGCTGTCTGTTAAAGCCACTGCTGTTAATAAACTGTAAAATAGCCTATACCCTACAGATGAAATGTTTTTGAAAATAAAATTATTTAATACCTTTTCCTGTGTTGCAATGCCATTTTGGAGTACAAGCACTTTGATCTCTAGGGACAATTTGGCATTTAGGTGGACAAGGTCCGCATTGACGTGAAAAAGGAGCATGAGGAAGATTGCAGGGGTTGAATCGTCCATGGTGCAGTCTAGCAAGAGATTCATATTTATTTGTACACATATCACATCTACAGGGAAGTTCCAACTCCCTACTTTGAAACCTCAGAGGCTTACGTTTTATAGTCCTTGGGAATAAAGTAACAAGAGTTGGCTCAGAACACGGTTCAATGCTTTTATACAAAAGTTTTGGTTTACTTTTTTTATCAACAATTTCTCTTATCCTTCTCTCTCTGGAGCGAAATGGCATATCTTTAACAGCAGATCTCACAAAAGATGGTGATCTACTTCGTCTCCTGAAGTGGCTCCTAACACGCCTTCTTATGGGAGTCTCTGATCTACAGCTCCTAGCCCTAATTCTTCTACTCCTACTTTTTGATGCACGAAAACCTGAAAAACGTCGACGAACTTTTCTGACTGATCTTGCTTGGTTTGGACAACCGAGATCCCTTGAAGTACTTTGTCTTGTAGAGCGGCTTCTTCTTATTCTCAATCTAGGTCGTCGAACTATTGCTCGTCTGAATCCTTTATCTCTTTTTGGCACTTTGCAATCTGAACCCTGAGCACTGTACACTGGTGTTTCCCTGTGTTGATCTTCCCACTCCACACCTCTTCTTCTCAACTCTGGATCATCAAATGGTGAATTCATTTGCTCTCTAGCAGCAAAGATTTGAATATTTTGTTGAGGAGTAGTTTCTGATCGGTTCTTTATCAAAAGTTCTTTAGTTTGAGACTTTTTAGATGGATCAGTTAAATAAGAAAACTCAGCTATAAAAGACGATAGTTCTTGTTTCAATTTATTGTTAGACCAACTGCTGTTTTCTGTTTCTTGTGCTACTCCATCATCTAGTCTCCGTCTGAGCCTTCTTTTTCTGTGTCTACCATTAGTAGTTGATGTAGTAGACATTCTGCCCTAAAATTGGTAAAACGATTAGTGATTAGTCTATGGTAGTTGAATAAGGCCTAGCCTACTGGTATTTTTTAACTGGTAATTTGAATATTTATAGAAATAATTTATGAGTAATTACTTTTTTATGTCATTCATTCAACTCTCATTTTTATTCATCTTTGCCATAAAATTTACACCATGTTCTATCAGTGTCATATATTAATCTTATCGATTCTAATAAACAAAACAAATACTTATATTGATTTATTGGTAAATTGCTAGTTTGTACTGCTCAATAATGTTTTTTACTGTAAGTCAACTTTGATATTGATTGATTGCTACAAACAAAACAATTGATCATTAGTAGACAATAAACTATCGAGTTAACTAAACTTTTAGTAGAGAGTCTCAATTCTTTATTTACTTTCCTTTTTACTTACTAGAATGATTAATTTTTAAACATCATTGATTCTATAATTATAAAATAGCCTATAATATTATGTAGTGTGTCTAGATTAGTTATTGTTATGATCCATGTATTATGATTTCATATCAATTGAAAAGTGTTAAGTCTTAAAAATAAATAAACATAACCTGTATTTTATATTAAAATCAACCTTGACTTTTAAGCCATTATTTGAAATTTAAACTATAAAATTAAAAAAAACTTACTGTAGAATTTGTGTAGAATGTTGTAAAATTGTTGAAAAATCAAACCAAGTTAAAAGTATATTTTTAAATCCATATTTAACTTGATTTTTGTTTCACTGAAAATTTAGAAATCTTGTTTTGTTTTGAATATTGACAATCCAAGCAAATACCAGCATGTGATGTGAATGGGCCTTTTTGATCACAAAGTTCTCTTGAGTGTAGTTCTTTTAAAATCACAGCATCAAACATAATAGTTTCATAGCATTGACTACCTATTAATAAGGAATAGAATAGAATATGGTTTCAAGGCAATTGAAAGTTAACAAGATTTTAGCGAATTTCCCTATAGGGAAGTAGCTATTAACGTAGGTGGCACGGTAAGACCCAGGCCCGGGACCGATTTACTTTTTCATTTTGATGTCCCCAGAGGCTAAAAACACCATTCGTTAAAATTTTTATATATGTATATATATATATATAGACTTATATATATACGTCCGTGAACGCGATAACTTGAGTAATTTTTGTCCGATTTTGATGAAATTTGGTTTAAAGGTGTAACGCGGGATTAACTTGAATAAGTTTGGGAAGCAGTATGATCGGACCATGGGAACGGGGTTTTATGGGGTAAAAAATGGTTTTTCTCATTTTTGACCCTCAAAATACAAAATTTCCCAATTTCTCTCTAGACCTTTTTAAAGAGCTTAAAAAAACAAATAATTTAGTATATTAAGTGTTTTTGTACGGTTATTGGTAACGGAGAAAATTTAAAAAATTGTAAATTTAAAATTCCCATGTTATTTTTATGGAGAATATTTTAAAATGTTGTTGTTTGCTTGTTTAGTTTATGGATATATTTTGATCAAACTTGGCAAATTTATTTATTTTATACTAAGCTATGAATATTTTACTAAAAAATACATTTTATTAGTTTCCTTGTAGCAGCAAACCTAGGTACTCAGTCGTATGTTTTTTAAGTAGATTTATTTAAAAATCAACTCAGACAAATGGAAATTCGCTTAGTATGCAGGTTTGCTGTGGCAGGGGTATTATTGTGTTTAGATAATAGTCAAATTGAATGAATTGAAAAATTCTTTATTGTTCTTTTAAAAATAGAATACAACTAGTGCACATGTTGCTCGAATTTGAGCAATTGCAAAGTATTACAGGCCTTATATATATTTTAAAACAAATAACAGTCTTAATTTCCGATGACTTAAAAGAGGCAACTCAAAGATAATGTAATCAAATACTCCACTGCAGTTATCAAAACTGGAAACGAACTCACTGGAAAAGTGGGAAAACGAACGCTCACTCCACTCCAGTTATCGAAACTGAAAACGAATTCACTCTGAAATTGAATGCTCTTGTGTATATCATGTAAGTTTACTACAAAAGGCTGTAAGTTAATTAATACAAATTATTCATCTTTTTAAGTAAACAAAATATTTTCCTTATAAGAATAACATTGGGATTTTGATGGCCTGTGGGGCAAAGCCTGAGGACTTTTATTACAGGAATTGGTGAAAGGGGGCATCTACAAAAAAATACTTCATTTTGACACATCGCTTGTAAAAATCCGTCCATTATCAACGGAGAAGTAGTGTTTTGTAGAAATTGCCTTCACGTATTATATATAAGGATACTTAATACTTTACATTAATTTTCATTGAAATGAGGACCTAACAAACTAGGTACCTATTTTAAACCAAGTATGAATGGAGATGAGTGTAGGATGAGTAACGGGATCCTGTAGTCTTGTTAATGACTACTAGTGGCTTGTAGGGGCAATAGCCCCTATATATATTCTAGTAATTATTTTGTATAAATTATTAGTCTCATGGGTCACCCTACCTTGAATTATCGTTTAACATTTTTGTATAATATTATAATATGTATAATAGTTATTACATACCTGCATAACGCATATACATGTCTGCTCTGTTTAAAATGAAAATTCCAAACCAAAGGACTGTTCAGGCGAGGTGTTTATAATACATATAAACATTCTAATCATAATACAACTAAAGAACATTTTTAATAATAATTTTCATGACTATTAATTAAATATATACATTTCTTTGAACATAGACTATAATAAAAGAATGTGTTTAATGGTTTGCACTGTAAACGAAAAGCTATCACAATAGTTCCAAACAAAAAAATAGAAAAAAAGGAAAATATAAATAAATATGGAAAATTGTGGGTAATTTTCTAACATATTTTTGTGAAGTTATAATCAGGCAAATGGAAATTCGCTCAATCCATAGATTTGCTGCGGCAGGGGGATTATATATTACTAGTCTAGTAAAATTATGATTTGACCTGGGCAAAATTGCTTCATAAGCCATTGAAGTGGTATTCGACTCAACAAATGTTACTTTATATCCAAAATCCGACCACGGGAAAGTGTCTAAAAATAAATTTTAAAATGGCGGCTATTTTTCTTAAGAGCCATTTATTTTAAAACACCAATAGTCAGATAAATAGCAGCTTGCAGTTCGTTCTAGCCCTAAAATATTCGGTAATAAAAGTGTTTTCATTTGAGCTATTGATCATTAAAATCGGATGTGTTATAGACGAGCTACAAACCCTAGCACAATATTAAATTTAACTTTTTAGAAATAAGTTGTTATTAAAATATATATATCTCGGGCTGCTAATATGTCACCAAGTTCTTTCTTGTCTCAAATTACTCAGTGGATGTTTGGCTTTAGTTTTATGTATCACTTAATAAAATCTGAAAAATTTTAAATGAGTCATGAATATTTATTTAACAGTAAATTATTTCTTTTATAAAATTTGTCTTTAGTTTAGGGTATTTATCCCCAATTCTAATAACTCCCAATAATTTATCCATAGCTAAAACAAAATTTCATAATGTTACTATTTATTTAAGACTGTACAGATTTTTGGGAGTTATTTAGAATTAGGGTTATATGTCTAAAACTAAAGACAAATTTTGAAAAACAAATAATCTACTGTTAAATAAAGATTCACGACTTAATTAAAATTCATCAGATTTTTTAAATGGTTAATAAAATTAAGGCCAAAGATTCACTGAGTAATTCGAGACCAGAATGAACTTGGTGACATATTAACAACCTGAGATATACATCTTTTAATAAAAACTTATATCTAAAAAGTTAAATTAGTATTGTGATAGGGTTCGTAGATCGTTTCTAAATCATCCGATTTTAACGATCAATAGCTCAAATGTAAACCCTTTCATCACAGAATATTTTAAGGCTAGAACAAACTGCAAGCATTAGTAAAAACTGTAGATATAAGAAAAATTATCTTTAAAAATGATCAAATTATGAAACGTCCATAAGAAATGTATGGGGGTACAACTTTTTGTTTTGTAGTCTTTTTGCATTGCCTGTTTTGATATGTTTACTGTTTCCTATAATAGTTATTTTTCACATATTTGTTCAAACGTCTGACAATGATGTTCTTGGTGAAAAACTTGTACTATCGTACAGTATCTGGGGTACCGCCAACCCTAGAGTGATTATTGAAAATGGTCAATTCTTCTTTTATGACCCATTGCGCAACTGTGGGTAGAAACAGAACGGACTGTCTTGCTCTGCTTCTTAAAAGGAGTGCCAGATCAATGAATGTAAGAACATTGAAACAAAATTATAACAGTTATTCAAATGAATAGTTTTTCCAAGAAAACTTATGAAATTTAGTTTTTTTTTTTTTTTGTAACTATGGAAACTAAAATGTAGCCTACATACAAATATGCCCTTGTCGTTTTTTTAATAAAGTCTATTCTTGTATTTATTTGATTTTTCGACATCCAATCTGATAATTTATGTATATGTGCTTTCCGTTATCCCATACCACCAAAAGTCTTAAAACAAATATGAAATTTTGCCGTAATTTTGAATTTGATTTTCTAGTTATTTCCCATGGCCGGATTTTGTCGGATTTTGGATATGTTATAAAGCATTATTTTCTGTAATGAATACCACTTCAATCGCTTGTGAAGCAATTTTGCCCAGGTTTAAGGGTAATTTGTCATATTTTGCCTGGACTATACTGGTTTACACAAAAATAATTCAAAGAAATAAACCTCATAAAACTCACGATAAGGGCCTATAGGTTGATACGGCAATGATTATAGAAAATTAATTAGTTCCTATACCGGTATCTATAAACGATTTTTTTTTACAAAAAATTTTTCCCAGTAAAACATTATTACAGCATTTCACAAATATTAGAACAGACTCAGTAAACATAAACAAATGAAGTAACTGAAAGAATCATATACTTATGAAATTACATTAACATATCATGGTTTGACAGCTCCTTTTAAGTAATGTTAAATAATGTTTACAATAGGGCTAGTGACATCATTATTTTAAATTTATAATCCTTACCCTCTCTGTTCTAACATTCGTGCAGTATTTAATTTGTTTGAACCAGCTGTGTGGCATTGTGAAATCAAAATTCATTTGACAGTTTGTTAGTTTTGCTTGTTTACATTTTTAAACTTTGTAGATTTGTTCTTTGTTACCATGGATACCATCAATCAATATTTACTTTTAAATCTCTCACCTCAAATCTTTGAAAGCCCACGGGACAGAGCCCTAGGACAAAATCGAAGCGGGAATAGTTCTATATGTATCCTCGGAGCTGTAGCTACAGTTGTGTGCAATTTGAGCCCAGTCGGTTCAGTAGTTTTTGAGATTATCTCATACAAACACACAGACACCACCTCTTCTTTATAATAGTATCCTTATATGTTTAATACGTGAAGGCAATTTCTACAAAACACTACTCCTCCGTTAATAATGGACGGATTTTTACAAACGACGTGTCAAAATAAAGTATTTTTTGTGTAGACACCCCGTTCACCAATACCTATAGTAAAATTCCTCGGGCTTTTCCCCACAGGCCATCAATGTTGGAGTTTCTCCCATAAGATTAACATGGGTGAATCTAAATATTTAATTGGAAACTTTGTCCCCACTAATTTGAGAGAACGGCTCGGCGTAGAAACTTGGTAGAGGTGTCCAAAGAAAGGTCTTGGTCTGTAGATGAGTTATCAAAAGAAAAACTAAGCAAAATCCCTTAGGACTCTGCCCCAGAAGCCTTTAAAGATCCCTCCACAGAGGTGTTTACATTTTGGCCATGTGAATATTACTTTTTAATGAAACAGCTGTTCATTTTTAAATTGTATTTCAAACAACACACATTTATTGGGAGTTACTGAATTCTACCAAATAAGTATATTTGCAATGTTATTTTCTGATTAAACAAAAATTGATTTTCTTCTTTATCATGTCATGTTTTGCAACGTTCCATTACGAAATCAGTGGAAAACTCTTTTATCACAGCAATTTTTAAATTATTTCTTATTGAACTATCTTATATCTATTGTACAGGTAGGTGTCTGATTTTCACCATTTTTGCCTAAATTACATTTTATCATATTTTTCTACACATATCAAATATTTATGTGGAAATATCTGCTCTCATCGTGTCTAATAAAATCCAAACATAGAAACCTTGCCTAAAATGGTACCCATCTTGAAAAAATATTTGCACCTGCCTCCTGCCTTTATTACGGACTTTGGCACACTGGTTTGGTAAAATTATTGAAAATAACACGACGTTTTGGCTGTAAAATATGGCACAAAGAGAAAATACTATTTAAGCAGCTACTCTCATGACAGAAAGGTCATATTCCTTTTAAACTAGATCACATAATCCTTTATAAGATACGTTGATTACCATGTAAATGTCAATATATACGTAACAGCCAATTTACAGTATTTTTGCTTTTTGGAAATGTCCCATTGCTATGTCATTTGCATTATTTGTTGTCAATGAAGCCGCATGACCATATGAACTAGGAGGCCCCTAACAGTTCAAGAATAAAAGCCAACTTCACTTCAAGTATTCCACTACACCTAACATTCCGTAGAGAGATTATATTGACAACTTTATGGATAAGGCTGAGACAACTAACTGACACCCCCCCATGTCAAGGAATTCCAGCAGTAACCCACAATCAATTTCTCAAAAATATGCTAGAGGGTTCATTAATTAGCACAGAAGTACGATATGAACTGACGCGACGTGACGAAGGAAAAATCAAACTTATACTGTAACGGATAGCCTATACCCCTTTGAAGTTATAATATGTCTTCCCAAACATTATTTTCTTTTGAAATAAAACCATGTTACAAATCACAGAAGTGTTTAACTACAAAAGATCCACCAATACGATTTTAATACTGTTTAAAAGTTCTTCCTAAGAAAGAGAGATACAATATAACATACTAATAATAACACCGATGACGTACGGTATGGGGAATGTTATTCATTGAATGATCAACCAAATTTGGCAACTAACGCAATTAATATCATTATTGTTGTTACACTTATTACTCTTTAAACAATGCTAAATGCTCAAAATATGTATATTTCACCCAATTTATTGCAGTTAGATTAATTAAGGTAAGCCTTGAAGAGTAACCGTCGATTTCGACGGGTTTCACCTAGTAGATTTCTAATAACCCAATTACAGTAACATGTAGGCCTATTCACCTCTGGTTACTCCCCGTGGACGTCCAAATTTTAAATGTTAACATTTTAGAAGGGTTAGACAAATCACGAAACTCTAAAATGCTGTGGAATCCAACCAAAAATAAGGAAGAAAATAGAATTTTCCTACAGTTACCTAACAATGTACTTGTTCTCTCGCTGATTTGAGAAAGCAAAGTGGCCAATTCGCTCATCAGTGAGACAATGTTAACATTGTCTCACTCTAATTACTTTGTCTCACTCCAGATTTGCAACGTGAAGGCACAAAATAGTGGGTGCGTAACATGCAGGCAACGTCGTATGCGCGCGAAATACGTTGGCAGCACTGGCTGTAAATCAGCTGGTCAGCTGTTGTACTGTTGTAATTGTCACTTCACATTAAATGTTATATTAAAAATTCACTTCTGTGTAAAAATAGGTTATGTTTCTTCACCAATTTATTTCTTTTATGGTAACTGTAGGAAAAGTATAATGTGCAACTCGAGTGCAAAGTACAATTGCCTCACTCGTGAAACCGGTGAGTAAGGATTTCTCTCGAGTGAGTCAATTGCTCACTTTTCTCACTAGTTGCACAAATAACTATTTAGACAAACATTCGGTGATTGGCTCACACATCTACATGTTTATTTAGTTAAAAAATGGCGACAGCTGGTCCATATAGATGGGATGTTTACTTCAGTACCCAATAGTGAATACGGTGTACTGGTGTACATTACATGTTTTGGTCGAGTTTTCGACCACCGGACGACCACTAGTATTATTTAATTTATTATAGATCACTTGACTTGATTAAAGTAAAGCCATAGATAAAACATACTCCCCTAGTAGATTTCTCATCCCGTATGGAACAGCTGAAGCCGGTGCATAACCAAACAGTAAAGCACAAATCCTTAAATTAACCCTAAAATAGTAACAAAAATCCGTCGACACTAAAGCACGCAGTGTCGCCGAACATGAACTAGATACGAAAAACGAGCTTCAAAATTTACAATGGGATAATAAGTCTACTAGTGGTTGGTTAGTCAATGGTTTCACATGGTTTCACCTAGAACAAAATGAGCCTTACGCGCCAAACTGGGGTTTTGAGTGTTCGTATTTTTTATTTCCAATGGACATAGGCACGTTTCAAGTAATTAAAAGCCTTCTCAAGCTTGTAGAGAATACCGTACATCAAAATAGTTTCATCGTGTTTGTTCGGTTTCCCATCGAAGAGAGCGTAAAAAACAAATATAGCGCAGGGATTTATTTTGCTCTGACAACTCTATATTTTTGATTTGCTCTAATTTTAAATTACTTAAAGCTACACTATAGTAGCTGCTTCAGCATCCCTAAATAATAGTCTTTTACAATCATAAAGCCTAGTTTCATTCTAAGTCACATATTTTACTTTCAAGACTGGTTACCTCTTCAGACACTTCATCTTGCAACTTAAATGAATTGTTCATTTCTTTTGTTCGCAATTCCTTTTCAACCTCAAGCTTAGATACTAGAGTTCTTATTTCACTGTGTGAAGCCTCTAATTCATTATTTTGAGTAATTGATTCCTGATTAAGAGTTTATTAATATTATGCATGAGTAACTCGATAGCACCAACTAAGTCTTTCAAATCTAGATCAGGATGACTGTGACTGGAGATCAAATTATTTAATTTTCTGCTAAGTTGAAGGACTAATCCCTCCATACCATCCTCAATAGGTTGAGATACATACTGACTTCTAGTCATTACCATTATATCTAGAATGTACCAATTAAAATAACAAACAACTCTGTCATAAAATTATAAATAAAATGGAATTATATTTACAACAATTAAAGTAGTCATTTACAACAAAATTAGTTATGAACAATAAAATATGCTACACACAATCAAAACAAATGTTAATACGAGTCAATATTGTTCAGCAGACGGGATCAGGGGAACACGGGTCATTTCAGCAGCACCTGAAGTAAGTAAAGCACTGACTTTGTCTATTACATGATTGTAAAATGTTTACAGACAATAAAGATTGATTTGATTTGAATATCCACTTATCATATTTATCTATCTTTCTAGTGGGGGACATAAAAAACATATATATATATATATTTATATAAATTTAAACAATACCAGGAAAAGCTGCATGATTTATAACTAAGCTAGCTTTAAGGGTAAGTGAAATTAGTAAATTAAGTAAAAAAAAACAGATTGCAGACACCGGATCGGGTCGAAAAATGCAAATTTGGGATTGGCTGGCATTGGGGTGAATTGGTGAATTGAATTGAATAATAATATTAAAATGGCGACGCGGGTCGCAGCATAACTAAACAAACTTTGTGACCTTTTTGTGTTGTCTAGTGAATATGTTGTCCTCTATTTTCGCTCGTGTTGTCTAACCCAGCAGAAAAATTTGGTAGGTTTTTTGAGTAAGATATTTATAACATCATCATGCCTAGACCTACGCATGTTGTTATTACCATATAAGTAGGGACCTAAGGGATTTTCCTATGCCTAGACTTGTTTCAAAGATGAATACTAATTTATAAACCCTTGATTATAATTCCGGCAGTCTAGTTTTTGTATATTTTGATAAGCTATATATTTAAGTTCCCCATGGAGCTTATAGGAAAGAACCGTAATGTGTCAGTGTCAATTAATAGGCCTAAAGATAAACTCAATCTACTAAGTTAAACTTAAGTAAGTTTAGGCCTAGGCCTATTTCTTCGCATCCTAAGGCTTTGGCACTTGGCTAAAATAGGCTATTAAGTGCTAAGCTTAAACTCTTTCATTTTGGTAAATAGTCTTCATCCCTTGTACCTAATAGTTTTTCCTAAATTTTGTGTTGGACGTTATTACACCGTAGGCCTTAGTCTTGTTTGTTATTTCATATCTATCTATGTATTAATAGGCAAGCATGTTTCTTTAAAACCTTTTTTCTTAGCTCACGTGAATCACTGATAAAATCTAGGCCTACGCATAACTTACTGTTAGAAAAGTATTTTTCTGTAGATGTGCAGAATCCCTTTTTATAACTTTGGCTAAATTAACCCTAGCAGTGGCCAATGTTAAAAGTGGGGAATGGCCAACCCATTTTGGCGATTTTGCAGACCTTTTTTTGAAAACTCGTAAAAATTCAACCGTACAAGTAAACCTAGCCAACCTTATATTCATTTTGTTCGGAAAGAACAGGAGAATCTAGAAATAGTGATATCATAATGATTTAGACAGTGTATTTTTTTGGTAAAGTGAAAAAAATAAAAAAATTTGAATTTTTTTTTTTGAAATTTCAAAAGCGGCCTCAGTATTTTTTTCTATGGATTTTTTATGGGAAATTCATTATATAGGCCTACATTTTGTAGACAATCTAATTCCCTACAATAAAATATATAACATGTTAGGCCTAAGAAAATATTTTTTATAAGTTTTTGGGGTGAAATATAATGACAAACGGAGAACCGAAAAAATTGAAAACCGTACAGTGTTAGTTTATGTTGTAAACAGTTCTATAATATATGTGTATACTAATAATGATATACAGGGTGTTTGGTACTCAGTGTGAAAAAAATTTTTTTGGTGTAAGTAAGTTATACAAAGTAAATGCAGTAGGTATGATGATGCATATAAAATGTCCCAAGTCTAAAAATTAGCTTCCCAAAGAATTATTTTATGTTTTTAAAAAATGACTTATGCTTTTAAATTTAATACAGCTATTTCTCAATTACCTGTAAATGGATTTGAGTAGACAATGTCATTTTCGTGTTCTACATTAAATTTTGAATAAGAACAATACAAAATGACAGAGGATCAGTTGTAAAAACTCCATCGTAAATAGATTCAAAGATAAAAATTAAGATGTTTGGTAAAAATTCAAAAAACATTGGTCAATTGCATTTGTTCACACCCTGTATACAAGAAAGTGTCGGAATATGTTAAAAACTGCGCCATTTTATAAGCTTTCCAACCATATGCTACACCATTGAGCTTTCTGTCTGCTTATGTACGCTTTCGTGTTTGAAGACTACAAAGCATGGCGTCTTTATCATTTAAAACATACTTAGAAAGTCAGCATGTATTAAAAAAAAGTTGTATTTTTGTTTCAGCTTGAACAGTAAAAACAGTAAAAAAGTTCCCTGTTTTCTGGTATTCAAACCACTAAAATAAACAAAAAAATATCTAAACCTCAATAGTGTAGCATATGGTTGGAAAGCTTATAAAATGGCGCAGTTTTTAACATATTCCGACACTTTCCTGTATACAGGGTGTGAACAAATGCAATTGACCAATGTTTTTTGCATTTTTATAAGACATCTTAATTTTTATCTTTGAATCTATTTACGATGGAGTTTTTACAACTGATCCTCTGTCATTTTGTATTATTCTTATTCAAAATTTAATGTAGAACACGAAAATGACATTGTCTACTCAAATCCATTTACAGGTAATTGAGAAATAGCTGTATTAAGTTTAAAAACATAGTTATTTTTGAAAAACATAAAATAATTCTTTGGGAAGCTAATTTTTAGACTTGGGACATTTTATATGCATCATCATACTGCATTTACTTTGTACTTAGGCCTACACCAAAAAATTTTTTTCACACTGAGTACCAAACACCCTGTATACATGTTTGTAAAGCTAATGAAGTAAGGACTTAAAAAAAGTCATAAAGTTTATGGTAAAAATAATTTTTTACCTATAAACATACGTATATAAAATAATGTTTTTATAATTTAGCGATTTCTCGAGAAACAAAATTCACAGTATTTAGTAGGCCACAACTTTTGTACCATTTTTTTTTTACTCCAAACCAACATAATAACTTAATCTTGTAGTGTATTCAATTACCTACATAAAAATGTACAACATGCTAGAAATATTTTTTTTGTAGGTACGTAGCGTAATAGGGACATAATAATACAATAGGTAACCGCAAATAAGTGTAAACTATAGCCTAGCCTACAGTGTTTGTTTGTGTTGTGAAACATTATGTAGGCTGATGATATGTAGCCTACATATTTGTAAAGCTAATGAAGTAAGGAATCCAAAAAAGTCATAAGTATGATGGTAAAAAGTTATTTTCAACTAAGTTATGATTATGTATCAATTTGAGAACGTCTTGAATTTTTTGCGCATTTCGAGAAAATGGAGTGTAGGCCTACAGTATTTAGTAGCCTATCTTATAATTTTTTTACCAAATTTTTTACAATCAAACCAATATAAACATGTTGTAGTGTATTCATTTACCTTTATAAAAATGTATAACACCTTGGGTAAATCATTATATAGCATAATATAGCACCTCTGAATGTTAGAATCGTCATTTTTGGACATGATGCTAACAAAATACAGTATTTAGTATAGGCTATTTTTTACCCCCAAACCATTATAAACATGTTGTAGTGTATTCATTTACCTTTATAAAAATGTATAACACCTTGGGTATATAATTATATAGCATATATAGCATGGCGAACTAAGGTCCGTCTCGTACAACAATCTCTGAATGTCAGAATTGTCATATTAGGACATGATGCTAACAAAATACAACCTTTTATGAACACTATTTCACACAATTCAGCAATATTTATGCATGAAGATTACTGTTATACACACACACAAACTTCACTAATACTAACACTACGAACTAATAACGTATTTAAGTAATAAATCGCGGATAACACGAGAACGAACACTATTACCGGCAACAACACAAACAAACAGTGGCGAATACAAGACAGCTGACAGACTGTAGCAGTAATGACTCACTTCCGTCGTCTACATGCGAGCATACAGAAATAACCCTGAGTGCAGGGCTGCCACTCTCTGAATCTATATTTCTTCCTCTTCAAAATGACATACTATATGACTAGTAATAATAAATTACACTGTATGTAATTCATATTTTCCACATCGTCACCTGACGACCATTGGCCATTTGTTAAAAATTTTGAAAACAGCTGTTTTCATAAAATCGTACCGGTTGTGCAATCAATATTTCGTTCTAAATATTACTACCACAATGAAGATAAAACCAATGGCTATTCAGTGGTACCACCCGCAACATCCCACGACGAAAATTACCCGAGCAGGGTAATGCCAAACAAGACGTGTTTTGCCAGTTCCCAAGTGTCGGCTGCAAAAGTCGTGCCGCGCCAAAAATTCATTTGATTTCTAATCGTCGTGACATTGTTATATACCTGCTAAGTACAGGGTTTGTTTAAATGTAATAAAATGAAAGTTCAGAATGTGATCTTTCGAATGGTATATATATTATTCTCATCTGAGTTGATTATACAAGTTTTTTTTAGCGCTAAAAGATTTCGGCCCACATCGTCACCAGACAACTTTGGCCATTCTAAGCATCAACGTCAGATCGTCACCAGACGACGATCGGCCACTGCTAGGGTTAGAATAGGCTAAAAAATAAGCACAAAATATGAATTTGAAATTTCAAAAAATTAACATGGGTCAGTAAATATGCATTTTAGGGTTTGCACGCGATTTTTGAATTTTTTTTTTTCATTCTAAGTAGGCCTATGTGGGTACTCAAATTAACCGTAATATTAAGCAGATCACGACTAATGCTAGAATGTTTTGGATCCGAGGTCAAATAAGCGAGATTTTCACGTAAAAATGAGATGCTATTTTGAATTATTGCTCCAACTTTTGTCTGTGTTGAAATACCAGCTGATTAGGATCAGCTGGTCATTATTTTATTATAATTGTTTATGTTTTAATTGAACAGGTAAAAGGGATGATACTAAGCATAACCTAACTAGCCTAACCTACCCTAACCTAACCTAACCTAACCAACCTACCCTAACCTAACCAACCTAACATAACCTAACCAAACCTAACCTAACCCAACCAACCTAACCTAACATAACCTAACCTAACCAACCTAACCTAACCTAACCAACCTACCCTAAACTAACCTAAACAAATTTCCCAATTTCAGGCATATTTCCCATAATTCTCCCGACTAACTACCGCCGCATCAACCTAGGCTTTTCCTGAGTTTTATGAGAATTATTACATGGACAGTACCCACCCCCCCCCCTATAATTCAAATACCCCCACCGCAGCAAACCTGCAGACTAAGCAAATTTCCATTTACCTGGCAGGATTTCTAAGTACCGGTACAAAAATATTCCCTAAAAATTATCAGATTTATTTCCTAAACATTATTTTTAGTGAGTAATTAGGTTTGCTGCTACAGGGAAGATATTGAGGTGTGTTTTTATTGCAATGTTGATAGCTTAGTATGAAATAAACAAAAATTCCAAATTTGGTTGAAATTAGGCCTATCCATAAACAAGGAACTACAACAGTTTATTTAGGCTACTCTCCATAAGAATAACATGGGAATTTTAAATATAAAATTTTTTAAATTATCTCTGCAACCGTTTGGCA